TATAAGAATTATACACCAATAAATTCCTTTCAAAAGGCGTTTAATCCTATAATATTCATAACATTTGTGCTTTATGTCTTTTCAAAACATCAACATTCTTATCAACTAAATCGAAATTTCATTCTAGATATTCGTACAACGCATTGTTTTCGACATACCATTTTTAATGTACTTGTCTACCGGCTAAAATATACATGTAACTACCATCATGTGTAAATTACTGTTTAATTAAACAATCAACAAAACAGCAAATAAACAGATATTGAAATGTCCATAAACTGTGAAATCATCGCCAATTCGACCTAACGTTTTTCTATGTTGTTTTCAGAATTGGCGCAATGTATTCCCACAAATTCAAATGTTAGACGTGTCATGATTAAAAAATTTCTCGATCGTTTTCAAGTACGGTGACCCTACGTTTATATTTCCTTATTTTGTTTAATAACAAAATAACAAACAATGCAAATTCTATGGAATTTTGATCAAGGAAAATTAGGTCATTTTTGTTTAATCTAATTATTTTATAGATATTTCACCATAAAAAGAGCGGGAAAATTATTATATAGATATAAGAAGATGTGGTATATATGAGTGCCAATGAGACAACTCTCCATCCAAGTCAAAATTTATAAAAGTAAATCAATATAGGTCAAAGTACGGTCTTCAACACGGAGCCTTGGCTCACACCGAACAGCAAGCTATAAAGGGCCCCAAAAATTACTAGTGTAAAACCATTCAAACGGGAAAACCAACGGTCTAATCTATATAAATAGCAACTTATCGTTATCATTTGTCCTTAAGAAGTTGATATAATATCAATACTATAAATTCTACTAACAAGGTCAACAAAATAAACAATTCTTATGTGATACGGACTTTTTATAAAATGTTACACTGCTAATACTACAAGTCCCGATTTCCAAATTCCATGAAAAAGATGGCTTTTTGAATCGAAAACTAGGTCAGTGACCCCATTTTTTTATTGCCTAATTTCTAAGCTTTTACTTAGCCTAAACTGAAAACAAAATGTAAAGAAGATAATATTGGTAGATCTGAATAGAAGGAATCATCTTTATGACGTTACGTATGATGAGTTTATCATTTACCACTCTCTTTGTCAATTGCGCGTACCATAGTTATATAATTTGAATTATCTCCCATTGTTTTTTTCAAAGTAGCATGCTACATCGTCAGATACATGTACAAGAAAAGTAAAACAATTTATAGCTAAATCAACAGGTAAATATTTACTTTTATATATTTCATTTTATACTAAATTAATGTAATCATAAACAATTCTTTTCTTTTATTGTTTGTTATCACGCGAAAGAAAACAAATAACTATGGCATGCATATATAGCAACATTGAATATTTTTATGATGTAGAATAGTGGTAAAAAATTAGAAATATACATGTTCAACTGTGGACTTTTAACTTGTGAACTATATCAGGTAAGAAAATCCAGCTCAGGGTAACAATGTGGTAAAAATATTGTCCTTATATGCATGAAACATCTGCCGCTGGACGCTAAACATCAATCAATTAACACCATCATCATCCAATATTCAATCTGTTCGGCAAGTATTTCTTGAACATTTCTCCGAAAGGGAGAACAAAAAATTAATCTATGAGGGTCTGCATCATGGCGTTTACAGAATAGAGAGTAATGGACAAAACGTGCAGAATAAAGGGCAAACAATATAAAGAATAGTGAAAAATAGGTATGTAAAAAATAAAGAAAACAGAATAATTGGGTGCTAAAATATAAAGAAAAGTCTGAGAGAATATTATGCCAAAACAATAAAGAATAGAGAAAAATGGCAGAAAAATAAAATGAATACAGAATTGAAGGACCCCATCCAGACCCTCACCTATACTCAACAACACTTAATTTTATGATGTGTTGCAAAATCGATTTTGCATGAATTAAACGAAACTTTAAATGAAGATCAAAAAGAAAGCCTATAAATTAAAAAAAAAAAAACAAATCATGTGAATAAACTAACCTTTTCTTAGTTAATGGCAATCATATTTTCAAAGGAATTCTTTTCTATACAAGAGAACTTTCCCATGAGCCACAAATCGGCAAGTGTTTACGCATATGAATTTATCTCTGTTTTAGAAAAAAATACGTCCAGAACATCAAACTTAGTTGATGATGTCGTCTGTAAGAGCACTTATTATACTCCCCGCTGTCTTAAGTGGGTAGTATATGGTGAGGAGGGGTCCATCCGTTTGTCCCTCCGTCCGTCCTTAAATTTTGGCCGCCATTTTCTCAGGAACTTTTATTCAGAGTTTCCAGAAATTTGATATCAGATTTTACGTGAGGATGCTATACTGAGTGGTGGATTTTCAGATTCATTTCTCATCCACTTCCGGTTTAACAAATATTTATTTATTCTTACACGAAAACACCATCATTTGACCATGAATAAAATTTTGTAACTCGATCGTTTATCTCAGGATCCGCAAATCAGAGCTTTCTGATATTATATTTGACACTGAATGGGGCCATGCGTTAATGTGTGATCAATGCATTTTCAGGTTCAATACTCATCCACTTCCTGTGTACCAAATACTTTAAGTTATATATTCTAACAAATAAGGGCCATGAATAAAATTTTGTAACAACGAACTACAAGTCAAGATTTTCTGTAATTTGGAAGTTATCTTGCAACTTGGTGTGAGCATGTTTAACATTTAGTGCTTTATTTACATCCATCACTTATTAAACTACTTGATTACGGAAGGTTTTTAGCCGGGGTTGTTTAGGCAGTAAAAGCTAACACAATTCAACATGTTTTTTTTTAAATTCCAGATAGTCTCACAAACGAAGTACATCTTTTTCTTCTTCTTCTTCTCTTCTTCTGCAATCCGGGTTTTTGTTTGTGCAAAGGGGTTTATAAAGGGGTACTTTGAGGGTCAAAAAGGAAAGAGAGGTTTTTTAATTTTTATTTTCACATGATTATAACTTGAAAACAGTTTGTGATAGACACAATCTTTATAATTGAAAATGTTCTTAATGATAAAGCACATTAAATGAAATAAAAGGTTAGTCCCCAGGGGTTAGGCCTTCACCCCTGCCATTTGAGAAAGTTCTAATATCTTTTAAGTGGTCAAGATCCCCACCCCTAAACCATATATATTCTGGTTTGTCATGATAAAGCACATTACATGAATTAAAGGGTTGGTCCCCAAGGGTCAGGCCTTCACCCCTGCCATTTGAGAAAGTTCTAATATCTTTTAAGTGGTCAAGATCCCAACCACTAAACCATATATATTCTGGTTTGTCATGCCAAAATGATTTCAATGATATACAGGGTTAGACCCCAGGGTTCACCCTCACCCCCTCCCATTTGAGAAAGTTCTAATATCTTGTAAGTGGTCAAGATCCCCATGCCCTAAATCATGTATATTCTTGTTTGTCATGCCAAGCCGGATGATTTAAATGATATATAGGGGAAGTCCCCATGGGTTCCGCCCGACCCCAATGTTATAATATCTTGTAAATGATCCCCACCTCTAAACCATATATATTCCTGTTCGTCATGTCACAAAGATTTGATATATAGGGTCAGTCCCCAGGGGTTCCCCCTACCCCAATGATTTAATATCTTGTAAATTGTCGAGATCCCAACCCCTAAACCATATATATTTTGGTTTGGCATGCCAAGATGATTTGAATGATATTCAAGGTTACACCCCAGGGGTCACCCCCACCCCCTGCCATTTGAGAAAGTTCTAATATCTTGTAAGTGATCAAGATCCCCACCCCTAAACCATATATATTCTGGTTTGTCATGCCAAGATGATTTGAATGATATACATGGTTACACCCCAGGGATCATCCCCACCCCCTGTCATTTCAATTTGTTCAAATATCTTGTAAATGGTCAAGATCCCCACCCCTACACCAAATATATTCCTGTTCGTCATTTCACGAAGATTTGAATGATATACAGGGTCAGTCTTCAGGGGTTCCCCCTACCCCAATGATTTAATATCTTGTAAATTGTCGAGATCCCCACCCCTAAACCATATATATTTTGGTTTGTCATGCCAAGATGATTTGAATGATATTCAGGGTTACACCCCAGGGGTCCTGTTACAATCATTACTTGTTCTTAACTGATTTATACTTTCCCCGACTGGTTCATTATTTATGATCAACGTGTGGTTTGTTTGATCTCAATTTTGCATTGGTTAACATTCAATTATGCATCAAATGTTCTTGCTTTTTTTTAATTGTCTATTGCAACGTCATGAAAAAGGCGACCATGTCTGTTGACGTCAAACGGAAAGAACGTTTTTTGAGATCATTGGAAAAGAAGGATAACGGTAATTTGCCAACATTTCAATAAAAATCATTAGGGAAACCGAGTCAACCACCGAATGTCGTGCAATACTATATTTCTGCACCCTCTACTGTAGTAAATAAAATTTAAGTATTTATAAGGCTCGGCAAGCCACGCTTTTTTAATATTTAAACGTTATTGTATCGAGCGGAGAAAGATTGGTTTTAAAATTACACTCAATCCGGTAATAATATTTTGTTTTGGTTATGTATTATGATAGAAACACGTGGCATAGATTGACTACCTTTCAAAACTAATATGATTTCATTATAATATAAATACATAAACCATTTTATGCTTACAGTCGCATGTAATGTAGATAGATATATTAACAAAATGTAGGCGCTCATAACGAGTACAAATGAATAAGGAAGTGTAAGAACTTGAAATGGGTACATATGATTTTTTAAAAAGTTACTGTAGATGCTCTTAACGTTTACAAAATTATCCATTTTTTACGACAATTATAACCATTGATTAAAAATCTAAAAATCGAAATTAACAGCATTACTTTTTTTAAATTTAGGTCTAAAAACTCTAAAGCACAGTACTTTTGTTGTTAAAAAGAGGTCTTAATCAACACAAGAAGATCGCAATACCTGTACCAGAAGTGGAAAAAATCAAACTAGTTATGGATGGAAAACCTTACAGTTTTGATACTGAAAGAAATGGAGATCCTTACAAACACGACAAATCCGATATGGATAATGGTAAACCATGTGATATCGATGTTGTTGAAAATGGCGAGGCTTTAAAATTCGATTCGGAAGAAGAACCTATTCAAACCAATACATGTAATGAGCTTTTATTAGAAAACGATTTTTCTAAGACAATCATTCAAAAATACACTAAGGTCAGACCTTATAAATGTGAAACTTGCGGCAAAACATTTTTTCAGACCGGTAACTTGAAGAATCATATTAAAATGCATACCGGTGAAAAGGCTCATAAATGCAATGTATGTGGTAGAGGGTTTCCTTATAAAAGTGTTTTATTGGGTCACATGATAATTCATTCTGACGAAAGACCCTTTCATTGCAATTTTTGCAGTAAAATGTTCCGTCGTCTTGGTAATTTACGGACACATGAAAGAATACATACAGGCGAAAAACATTATAAATGTGAAATTTGTAGTCAAGGTTTTTGTTCGCAATACAAGTTGTTCAAACATATGTCAAAGCATACAGATGATCGTCACAAATGTGATGTATGTGAGAAAGGATTTGTACGGAGTGGTGACTTGTTGATACACAGAAAAATTCATACAGGTGACACGTCATATGAATGTGAAATTTGTGGTAAAGGTTTTAATAGAACTGGTGTATTCAATAGACATAGGAAAACACATACTGGTGAAAAACACTTTCGTTGTGAGATTTGTCGGAAAAGGTGTTCAACAGCTGAGGACCTAAAGTTACATAGGGCAATTCATTCTGACAAAAAACCGTTCAAATGTGATCTATGTGAAAAATCATTCAGGCGTAAAGATCACCTCAATTCACATGTGGCTATACATACAGGTGACAAACCTTATGCATGTAATTTATGTGGAAAAAAGTTCAAGCACAATGGAAACTTAAAGGTACATTTGAGAACCCATTCTGATGAAAAGCCTCACACATGCAGCATATGTGGAATAAAAGTTCGAGAAAGGGACAACTTGAAGAAGCATATGAGAATACATACTGGTGAAAAACCATATAAATGCCATTTATGTGGAAGAGAATTCTCTCAAAGTGGGGACTTAAAAAGACACACAGAAACGCATACGAATGAAAAACTGTTCGAGTGTAATGTATGCAAGAAACGTTTTGCCACTAAACACTACCTTTGGAAGCACATGCAAACACACAAAGGTGAGAAATCATACATATGTAACGTATGTGGCAAATGTTTTACCAGTAATGTAAGACTATATGGACACATAAAAATACATACTGGTGACCAATGATTGTAACGTATGTGGTAAATTATTTGGTAACAGTGATAATTTAAACGCACACATGAGAACACACACTAGTGAAACACGTTTATTTGAATGTATTACATATGTAACACAGGATTTAATATAAACACCAACTTGCGAGCACATATGAACAGTCCACATGTTGGCATAAAACCGTATAATTGCTGTGTCTGCAATAAATCATTCTTTCAACATGACGCATTACAAAATCATTTGAAAACGCATACTGGTGAAAACTTAGTAAGATGTGATATATGTGACAAAATATTTTGCTCTAACAGATTATTACAAAATCATAGAATACACACCGGTGACAATCCTTTTACATGTAGTAAATGTGAAGATACGTTTCGTTCAGCTGTTTCACTAAATAATCACATGAGAAGCCATAGTCTTAAAGACCTGATGAATAGAGTGATATGTGGTATAATTACAATTATTGTAAACACAGGTTGGTCACGAACTGATAAGAGTGATATATGGTATAATTACAATTATTGTAAACACAAGTTGATGACCAACTGATAATAGTCAGATAGTGATACGTGATGTAATTACAATTATTGTTTAAAACACAGGGTACCGGTGATCACCAATTGATACACTGATATGGGGTAGAATTACAATTATTGTAAACACAGATTGATCCTCAACTGCATGATAAGTGTGATATGTGGTATACATACGATTATTGTAAACACAGGTTGATCACCAATCGAAAATAGTGATATGAGTGTCTCTTGTTGAAAATCAAAACGGTTCATACCGACAAAAAATCATTGAGATGTCATATATTGATAATCATCACAGTATGATTATTATCAATTTGAAAGAGTGTGAGAGTGAAATGTGTTTTTTTAATGAAAAATTAACCTGAATCAGACAAGAAAAATCTAATGAAATAATAGTTGATTACACGTGATGTCATCAAAGAAAACAAAGGTTGAATACACACGGGTATGTCTGTTTAAAGAAAAATTGAGCAATGCAAACAAAAAATTGAAACGATCTGATTTGTGTGATGAAAAGTTTCATTTTTTGGACGACTTTTTTAACTGAGTAAATCAGACTTCAAAATTATCGAAAGTTAACTTATTCTTTAGGTGTACTTATTGTATACGCTCTGTTATTCTAAATTTGTTCAAGCAAAATGAGAACACACAAGAATTATATTTTGTTTTTGTTATGTTGTGACAGAGATGCAGGAAAAAATTATCAAATATGTTTTAAAAGCTCTCGTTTGTTTATATCACTTAATAAATTTATGCAAATGGAATTATACAAAAATGAGTTTTTAATTTCATGCGTTCTACGAAAAATTAAGCAATGCAAACAAACTTCATCTATAGTGAAAGTATGAAAAAAAGTAATCTGAATGAATTTAACTTAAACACACTTAGTCTATAGCTTGGTGTTAATATTAGAAAGTTTTATAAACTTGTGTTTCTTTTTTGTGTCAAATTGACCATGCTGTCAATTTAATTGCGAACGTGTGATTTGTTTCATGATAATAGCCCAAAAACAAGTGCACCACCCATTGATTTTTTCTTCATCAATTACTTTCTTACATTATGTCTAATCCCAAAAATCAGGTTGAGAAAAAATGTTTAATTCTTGAAATGTTTGGCTCCTCAGATTTGTACATTATTAAGTATGCTTGAAATATTTGCCGCTGGTCATGTGCATACATTCATTGTACATTCATTGTACCGTAGGTCATTCATATTGTTGCTTGTTTTATACATTCTAAAGTAATCCAAGTACCTTCACCCTTGGCGACCACATTTTAGGGTGGGACCATTCCTGTAGACAGTAAAAACAGAATAAATGTTTTAGACACACATAATTTGTGTCATTTCCATTTTTTAGCTCACCTGGCTCAAAAGGGCCAAGTGAGCTTTTCTCATCACTTGGCGTCAGTCGTCCGTCGTCGTCCGTCGTCGTCCGTTAACTTTTACAAAAATCTTCTCCTCGGAAACTCCTGGGCCAAATAAAACCAAATTTGGTCTAAATCATCCGTAGGGTATTTTGTTTAAAAAAATGTATCCGATGTCCCCGCCCATCAACCAAGATGGTTGCCATGGCTAAAAATAGAACATGGGGGTAAAATGCAGTTTTTGGCTTATACATATATCTCCGAAACTAAAGCATTTAGAGCAAATCTGACATGAAATAAAAATGTTCATCAGGTCAAGATCTATCTGCCTTGAAATTTAAAGACACAACAGACAACCCGTTGTTGGGTTGCTGCCCCTGAATTGGTAATTTTACGGAAACTTTACAGTTTTTGGTTACTATCTTGAATATTATAATAGATAGAGATAAACTGTAAACAGCAAAATTTCTCAGCAAAGTAAGATCTACAAATAAGTCAAACATGACCAAAATTGTCAATTGACCCCATAAGGAGTCATTGCCCTTTAAAGTCAATTTTTCACAATTTTTCGTAATTTTTTGTAATCTTTTACATAAATCTTCTCCTCCGAAACTACTGGGCCAAATTAAACCAAACTTGGCCTAAATCATCCTTAAAGTATCTTGTTAAAAAAATATATCTGATGACCCCGCCCATCAACCAACATGGCCGACATGGCTAAAAATAGAACATAGGGGTAAAATGCAAGTTTAGTCTATTATTTTGTGAACCATTATAAATAGTGAAAATCTGAAAGGAGCAAACATGTTCAGAATGATGAGCTCTACCAATTGTCCATATACATCAAAACTGTCAGACGAATTCTTATAGGATTTATTGCCCATAAATGACAAATTTTACCTTTTTTTTCATTTTTGCCTATTATTATGAAAACTATGATATTTAGAGAAAAACATTGTTTTTCCGTTATGCCTTATATGATTTAAATTATAATAGATAAATAGACACTTTAAATCACAAAAATGATCAGCAAGGCAAGATCTACTAACAAGTCAAATTTTGCCGATATAGTTAGTAGACTGTCACTTTTCATAGGAGTGATAGCTCTTTAATAAGGATTTTTTTACCCTCTTTTGTGTTTTGAGCAAAAACTAAAGAAGATAGAGAGAAACTAAACAGACTAAAAGATCAGTAAAACAAGATCAACAAAATAGAGATTTTTGTCATGAAGTCTATTCTCGTCTACAATGTCGGAGAGTGTCCTTTGTTAGATATGCACATAGACCAAGGTGAACGACACAGGCTCTTTAGAGCCTTTAGTTTAAAAATCTAACGTCCCTGTCTTAGACACTCGAATCCTATTTTTTTTTCGTACATTTGCAGAAAAGTTTTCCAAATCGGTAATCGATTCTGGTTTATACTGTCTCTCCTCCAAATATAAACAAAACCTGAATCAGACAAATTTGCCATTGGACATTAAGAAACCAACAATGTCAATCAGACAAATTTCAAGTAAATGTATGTATCTAATTTTCTTCTCTTCTAAAATGTTTAGTAATATTAAAATAAGGAGATATGGTATTATTGCCAACGAGACAACTATCCACCAAACTTCAAATGAAATGGATGTACGTGTAAGCAATTACAATGTATAAACAACCGTACGCCCTTCGACAATAAGAAATCCCTTATCGTATAGTTGGCTATAAAAGGACCCGACATGAACATTTTAAAACAATTAAATTGAGAAAACTAACGGCCGAATTTATAACAAAACAATTTACAAAAAAAAAATAAAAAAAAAAAATATATGATAGACATGAACCAACGATAACCAACTACATGCTCCTGACTTGGGACAGGCACACAAAGAATGTGGCGAAAACATGTTGGGACTGTGATGTTACAGCACAATATAAGAATATAATTTTAACTATTAAAATCAGTCGAAAAGGGCTTAACTCATCAGATCGATACACAACAAAGAAACATCTAATAAAAACACTGACCAGACTTGGCAGGGTATTTCTAAATAAAAAGACACAAGTACAGATCTGACTGTTATCGAAGTTACTGACAGCTAGTTCAAAGCCAATAACAACTTATACAAAACAATCATGTATCTTAGACTGAAATGTCAACCAGTTCACATCCATAATGCTCATTTGGTATTGTTTTGTGTATCAGTACACACCCATAATGGCTCATTTGGTATTGGTTTTGAGTATTAGTACACATCTATAATGCTCAATGGCAGGAAACAAGCATTTTTTACCCTTAGACTATATTGGAAATTACTCCAAACTTTTAACGGTGCTTAACCAAACATTTCTGGATTTGAGTGGCTTAAAATGTCCATATCCTTGGACCATTAAATGTATTAGGGTAGACATGAATGTTAATGGGAAGGTACGTGTAAAAAAGCAGGCAACAGAACAGTATTTGTGTGTGTCTTCTGTGACATTATAAAATACGGATGGAAAATTTTATGCGGACGACAGGAAATATTCCACAGACCACAAATGTTGCATCAGTTTCTGTAGAATAGTAAACCCAACAACGTATGATAAGAAAAGCTTTAGTCAGTTAGTTTTGGAACTTATGAGGCAGCAATACTTTAGAACCCCTTATCAAATAAGGCAAGAAGTTTATCAACTTTTGGTCAGTTCAAAAAATTAATTTCTCCCTGATTTTTTTCTTGAAATTTTACCTGCAGTTCATGCAAATAATTGTTTTGCTTTGCTTATGCATTAACTTCGTTGTAGCTGCTTACACTCATTGGCCTGTGCATTTTAGTAGTGATTTATTTTGCATGTGCTTTGTGTATTTAGATACTGTCTGCTTTAAGCAAGGAATTATTTAAACGTAGAACAATTTGGAATTCTGGAAAACTGATAAGAAATATATGATGTATGATAATCTAAACCAATTAAGTAGGGTTAGCCATGCATGACTAAGGGCTGGTGGGCTAGTTAGTTCATATTTAAATGTCAGTGAACGTGACCTGAACCTTAGCCATGTGTGAATGGCTAACCCTCCTAAGTTTGGTTAGTTTTCATCATATATTTCTTATCAATTTTACAAAATTCAAATAATTCCTTGTTTTTATGTGATGATAATTTTGATTTTTTTTTTATCACATATCTTGCTTTACTTTTATTCTGCATGGGCTTTGAATGTATAGATGTGAGCTGTCTGTAAGTAAGTAAGTAAGTAAGTAAGTAAGTGTTATTTAAGGTCAGAGAAAACATGAGCTCTGATGAGCTCTTGAACCGAATGTCGGTATCTGGTATCTGGTGTTATTACATGTACTTCTTTTTGTTATGGTATTTTATATCGTCCGTTGAAGAGCGCATGTTCTATTTTTTTTGTATATATGCATGTATGAAACCAGACTATAAATAAAGATAACTTTACTTAAATAATTGAAAGTTCCTCTATGAAATTGGCGATTTGCGTACTGCGGTCTGACGATAGATAATTTAATATTTCTTTCATTTTTACCATGTCGATATTAGTGACTGACGACTGTCTTATCTGTCGATGCTATTTAAAAGCATCTCTAACGTCACCAAATAATCATTTAAAGTACCTGGAATGAGCTAACAGCCGCTGGTAGATCTTTTTGATATTGATGATGTACTATGATTGTTGAAGCGTATGATGTCATGACCCAAGGCCACAATAAATGATCACTTTTTTCGTCTACGAATATAGTTCCCTTTGATTATTTCTAAATTATTTTTTTTATAAGCTGAAAATGAACGAAGAGAGTTGAAATAAATTTTTGAATGTTATATTTTAACTGATTTTGATATGGGAAGAGTAAATAGGCTAGGTGGAAAAAGGTCATATTTTCATTTTTGGAACATCTCATGACTTGTCCATAGGGGTATTGATGTGTATTGGCTAAATTTGTGAGGTGTAAAAGTGCAAGTTTTCTAACTGGCTGCCTTCTGATGGTGTCCTATATGTTCGCTTCTAACGAAAAACTTCTGAATTTTCCTATTTAAATCGAACTTGAGAATTCTTCATGTCTTGCTCTAGGTTCAATTCAATATCTGTTAGCATTACGCCTACGCTCGGGGTAAAGATAACGACAAATACAATGCCACCAGTGTTTAAGTGAACATTTGATATATCATGACATAAAAGAATTCTCTCTAAATCAGTTACAG